TTTTTTTAAATAAAACAAATGAAGGGAAATTGGCCCTTCTTTTCTTCCTCATACGAATAAGGGACCAAGTGAGTGAGAACAGGTACACAGTTAATTTCCTAGGATGACAGGGTGCCTGAAGAGTTACAAAGCTGTTACAATTACAACGTCTGAATTCCAAAATACCACAAATATACGGTTATTTTGTTTATATATATGCATATGTGGTAGCTGTAATTTGAAATAAGCTTTAAATTGTAAGATTTAAACAAAACTCAGAGACTGATTTTCATTGTAAGATTTATTTTGTTGGTTTGATTGTTTGAATTTTTTAGTCAGTTGCGTTGTATGTCAGTGATGTATGTTTGCACAGTTTTGACTGCTGGATCCAATTCATTGTCACATCGGCTGATTCTATTTCAATATAACGTAACTATAAACAACTGTCATACACGTGGGAGGTTTAGCTAGCTATAAAACCAGGTTAAAAAATTTCATTTTTGTCGGACAATGCCTGTACGAAGTCAGGAATATGACAGTTGTTTTTCACTTGTTTCTTTGGTTGATAACGATTGATTTAGTCAGTTTTTACGGACTTCCCCTTTTTGAATTAACCTTGGAGTTCGGTATTTTGTTATACTTTTTTCATGTGTTATAAAATCTAAATCTAGAATAAACATTGAGTTTTAAACCATCCGACATAAACCCCGAGTTTACGGTGTTCGTGTTATTCATTTTAGTTTTACTGTGCTGTTTTTATCTCCATTGTTTTCTTGTTGTTAAAATCACTGCACTACTTTTTAATATTTGAAGTTATTTTACCTCGGTTATCACTGGAGAGATAACAAATGTCGCAATGCTTATCTTGTGCAGTATCTTTAGCACTAATAACGTTATGAATATTCATATATCAGCCAGATATCTTACCCAGCTATTAAGGTAGCGCAATCCAAAGATTTTTTTACTTCCAATCTCCAACCTTTAAAATGCTGTTACTTTCTTAAAAATGCATATAAATTAATAAAAGAGGTATATATAGATAGATAAAAGATTAATCTTTTAAATGAATGCAATATTTTTGTTATGCAATCATTATGTAATCAATTATCATGCAATTAATGGCAAAATCTTGGTCACTTCACTTGAATGAATTTAGCTCTTTCATCTCTTTAACTATACAGGAAATTTTAATGAAATCTTAATCAACACAGCAGGAGCTACAAAAGGGTGTCTCAAATTATCGCTATTGTATTCCATTCTCTCATAAATCTGTAATTAGTGTAAACATCCTTACCACATAAAAATAGATAATGTTTGATTAGGTGTAAAATTTGATCTATACATTCTATCCGAAATCTGAGACACACTTTTGTAGATAATGGCTCTAGGAACAACATATAATAAAATCAACCCTCTAGGGGTAACCATGAAGAAGCTAATTTCAATTGAAAGTGGAAATTTCTTGTAAAATTTTGTAGACACAGTTAACATTATAATTGATTACATAATTGTTGTATAATACTAACATTGCATTAATTTGTAAGAGTAATCTGTTAGCTATCCATAAATACCACTTTTATAAATTTTCAAGCATTATAAAGAAAATTACAGCATTTTAAAACTGGGGAATTGGAGGTATAAAATATTTGTATTGTGCTACCTTAAATTGAAACAGTGACTACCGGATCACTCCATAAAACCAAATGTTAGAAATATCAGAAATTCGGTTAACATTCTCCAGTTAGACACTTATTCATTTGAATCAGGAAATAATTCATTGGTTTTAAAAATGATTACACAAGAGATAATTTTAAATTCTAACTAATGATAGAGTATTGGCAACTTCCTGGGTATGCAAACGTGAATTAATATCCATGTACTTGAACTGAATAAATCTTAAATACAGTGATTTTTTAATCAATCAAGTTTGTAAAGGTGGTCATTGCATGTTTTATTATAACAGATTATCTAATAATTCTCAAGCTAAATGGGTGAGAAGAGAAAATGAAAGTTCGCCGAACAATGAGATGCACCATTTTGCGTGCTCCAAACGTTTTTCTTGATTTTCTAATAGTCACAGTAGATATCTTAGTTTCGCTGTGGTCGCCTAAAAAATAATTCAACGTTGCACTCATATAGGATTTGTGTCAGTTGTTTGAAGGCAACTCATTCTTGTAAAAATGAACGCATTTTACATTTCCTTTAAGAAACTTTCGGATCTAGTTTCTGGTATTGTTTTGCATCTCTTACCATACATTAAGGAAACAGTAGTTTAACTATGTTCAAATCTCGCAAATCGATCAAAATGAACAAACTTTTAAAAAAAAAACACATGAAGGTAACAAGCTAAAACTGGGGAAACGCATAAACTCCAAAAGTAGCGAGACCGCTGCTATTGTATGCATCACACCCAAGACGAATCCACACTCAGTCAAAATGTACCTCACAATCCGGAATTTGATTCAATCGGTAAAATTACAGTTCACACGACTATACTGGCATCAAAAGATCGAAACCGCCAAAACATTTGTCGTGAATGAGTTGAGACACCGCCAAAAACGTGATCATTGCTAATGAATATAAATTCCGACATATATGAAAGCGTGTGATATCAATCGGTCCATAAACGACAAATCTATAGCTTTTGTTTTTCATACTTAACATGTTCGTTCAAAATGATGAGGCATATTAAATACTGTTTTCATTACTATAATTTATACTTGTAACAAACGGTACAAACGGCTGTCATATCAAATTGTAAAGGTTTAAGAATAAATGTTGTTATACAATAATGTTCATTTACTTGTAGGTGAATGATCGTGGAGGAAAATGTTTTCCTCTGGGTTTCTTAGGTTTTGAAAAAAGAGGTATTGCCGAAATCTATCCAATAACAAACAACGGGAGCACAGAACAAAACAGTACATCTGCAACATCAGTTTTACTGGGCAAGTGGTAACAATACACGTGTAAAAGTATAATACCAATCTCAGTTCGCATGACACGTGTTCCTGGTATAATCATAAATTTCTGTAAAGCCTATTTGGCATTGTTTGTTTTTTCGTCGATTTATGTTCGGTCATGACATTGTGTTGTCTGTTTTGAGGGTTTTCTTTTATTTGGCCTATGATTTTCGATTGCCCATTTGGTATTCTCTCTCTTTAGACCAAAAATCTAGGAAGCTAAAAACAATAAAAAGTTTGGTGACATTGAAACAATGAACAGAATTGTCAAGACTGTTTAAGTTCTGGAGCAAATGAAGTAATTATAAATATATTTTATGAATGAATTTTCGCAGTTACTCGAAGAAAGGTCTTGGGTCTTTTAAAATTTGCTGATTTACAATACAGGCCTTCTTTCGCTTAGACTATTTATCCGATCAGACGATTATAATTGCATGTTTTATACTCGTTTATAAAAAAAAAACATTCTAAAAAAGAAAAGGAGGAATTATGATTCTAAAGCTTTCGAAATACAATCACACTGTCACAATGAATATCTTTTTATAAAATGAAATTCAGTACAATTTATTTCAGTAACTGTTTTGTTATAATTGTAGTTGATAAAACCCGGATGTTACGAACATGATTACCATGCGTACAACACATCCTTTTACTATAATCTTCCTCAAGTACGCTCGATACATAAAGTTTGGAAATCTACAAAAGTCCTTTGCAAGGAAAACAACATAAGGTCAATATAAAATAGCTATCAAACCTATATTACACATTGAGATGGTTGACCTTTGGGATTATAAAAACTAAGGGACACTACAAAATTGCTTTAAGTATACATATAATAGATTTGACGATTGCATCGAGTGCGAAACGATATTTCTCCACTCGAAACAGTTAAATTTTTGAGAGTGGACAAATACCATATCGTACGAGATTCGGTGGTGAAAAAGTTGTACATGTCAACCTGTATTGGAACTTAAACGACTGTTTTCTGTTAAATGTCCAGTTCTAGTGTAACCACGAAGAGTTTTATTTTGACTGAACGGCCATATGTAATGATGAAATTTTATTTATCTTTATCAAAAAAAAAAACATCTTAAACAAGAGATTTTATAATATTTGATGTTTGCAAATAATAACATCTGGTTTTGACATTTTGACATTTTGAAAGTTTCTCTGCTTCTTTTTTTTTTTTTTTTAGATATACATTTTTTTGTGACATTCAGTGTGTACGGCTTTTTAATATAACTTCGTGGTTTCGTGAACTCCTTTTATCACAGTTTAAGTTACCTTAGATGTAATCGGCTATTCTTTTTTCTTTCCAATTTTGGACATTTAGCTATTCCCGTATTCATTTACTTGTACATTCTTGCCTTTCGAATGTATGCATTTGAGCGTTCCTCATGAAGGTAAACCCCCAAAAAGAGCGCCGGACAACCAAAGTTATACAGTGTTATACAGTCGAATAGAGACATCCATACCTACTGCACAAAATAAAACAACGAACATCTTGTTTGAATCATATTGTTTTTTACAATGTATTATTTATCTTCTCAAACAAGATGTTAAATCTACATTGACATTTCTACTTTATGTAACAAATTTAGACATACTATCCCATTTACTATAAGCTTTTGATAAAGTATAACTTGTGTAAAATGTAGACAAGACAAAACATTGTACATCATTGAAAGATGGGATAATATTGAATGTACTCTGCCTCTGATCTGGTGTAAGAGGCGTATAGTAAGGCCAATCCAAATTGAAATTAATTAATAGTAAATTTACAAAACGCACCTAACGTTCTGCTATCAATATATAGTAATGTCTTTCTGTGTAGTTGTTTGCATGACCAGTTGGTTATAAACAAATTTGAAAATACCACAATATACATCCATGTGCAGGAATGATGTTCAGTTTTCCATATACATTACGGAGTTTTAATGTATTTATACACACTTATAGATACTCGGGAAGTTAAAGTTGGGGTAATGAAAAATGATTGATTAATTGTTTCATATTGTCAATATAAATAATTTCCTGGTTTAAAGTATATTTTAGGACATATAAATAATTAAGGATGCCATTTTTATTCATGATATGTTTTATATTAGGTTTCGTTGAAAGTTTAGATGGACCTCACATATGTGAAAGTAAGACGAGGTAAGAAAACCTACTGGACCTGTGATTATTTACATTTATTACACATTAAAATGGCACCACTAACAGTATGAAATGTAACACTAAGAGAATAATGATAAACAATGGGTGCAACATCTGAAAAAATACGTAAAAGAGAGCGTAAGAAGATACACTGTACAATGTGTACAATAAAAACAATAAGTCTACGAAAAACAGACAATACCATGACCAAATGACAAACTCAGATGCTCCTGTGTGAAACTTTTTTGATGCTCCTGATCAACCAATTTGAATAATTTCTTCTTTTTACAACAGGAGAATACATTTATTTATGCAGTTATTGATAATGAAATGCAGTTCTCTAGTTTTCTCGTTATTATATACAGTATATATTAAATCATGATAGTTTTTTTTAACTTATGTGTGCTTTTTATGTCAGCAATGGGAACCAATTCAAGAAAAATACATATTAGAATGTAATAATTGAATTTAAAGCCAATACATATAGAGCCTTAATTATACAGGCGAAGCTGTTAATAAACATTAATAAAGCAATAGTAACAAAAGAAACAAATATAATAACATTAACGGTACCAATGTCACTGCACCTGATGAGCCTTTCGACAATAATGTATCTATAGTGATGATTGAGGCCACAATATTTGAAAATCTAAAACAAAACAAAAAACGTTGAAGGGCTGGAAAAACCAAAAAGGACAAAATTGCTAGCCGAAATACAGAAAGGAATATGAGCTACGCGTTTGCATGAGGGGGTACATAATTTGATATGATTTTTAAATGCTTTAAAACCATATAATTGGGGTGGAATATGACAAATATAGTGACAAAACGAAATTACTATAATCTTAATTTGACCACTCTTCAAGATGTTTATCAATTGCAGTATGATGTAAGGTTAATAGATATTCGTAAACCATTCTTCATTTAATGCTTATGTCATATCTTATTTTCTTCTCATTATAAAACGACTTTGTGATATTTTCAATACGACCTCATATCAAATAAATACACCTCACTTAAGGCAATGAACTCTCACATAATTATTCATATTCTAAGAATTTGGTCTAGATTATTTGCGGACATGCTATGAAAATCATGACAATGACACATGAAGAGTCTCACTTTGATTGTTATATATGATGTAACTCACACACTTGCGAACTCACATTGTGTATTGATGCCGTTTTGCATTAATTACTTACCTTTAAAAAAGTGAATCTGAAACGTTGGATAAGCAACTTTTCTGTTTATCAAACCTTCTGAATAAAACCTAAACTTTGTTCATTTTTTTTTAATATTTCTAATGGAAAATTTGTTTCTGTATATATATGTTCAACAGAATTTACCATTGGACTGGTCGTCTAGTGCATAAATGTATTTTCTTGTCCATTATCAGAGGTAAATACTGCTGCTCATACTTTCAGGAGAAAAATGGAAAATGCGTTGGTAAGTTTACTATTATTAAGATTATGTGGGGATAAAACAAAAGTGTATTGATGGCCGTACTTTAGATCGATCGTTAAGGTATTTAAAAAAAAACGATTATAAAAAGATTCCATTGAACAGATTATTCAGTCGATATTCATCGACAAGGTATATCAAATTTGAAGCTGATCGCCTTCGTACTGCAAAAGAGTCATTGTGACCAAAGTCAAACCTACAGTCGCATACCAAATCTGAATAAGGATAAACTACTATTAAACATCTCAAGATAACGAAAGACGTGAAGTAGTAATGATATAATTTTCAACATTGCGAGACAATGATATTAAAATATGATTTACAGACATAATCATCACATCAAATCGACGTTTCGTTCATGTAACTATATTGTTTTCGCATGGCCAGTGTTGTTAATGTTCAGTTATATAATTTTACGTCGAAGTCAAACTTGAATTTACTTTTCAATCTACAATATAAGATTGCCTTTCCCGAATATGTTTTACAAGTTTTAACGCAGCTTTTCCCTTCAAGTAGCTCAATTCAGTTGTGTTAAAATGATCATTAACATGCTTTTCCAAAATTATTCGTTGACAAAATATTAAGAAACTAAGGTTCCAAATCCCTCTCGCAAATTCGACTACAGGTTGATTTGGCTATTTTTGAGTGTCCTTCTTTATCATATAGCTTCTCAAGTATTCAAGAATTTAGATATCTCTGGCTTTCAAATTTTGAGGTTGAGTTTTCCTGATGAAAATAAATCAATAAAAGTTGTTCAGACGCACCAAAACAGTATAGTGCTATCTTCATTTTACATTACTTATTGTTCATATCTTTTCAGCTTGTGAAGTTGGATTTATATCACGATTTGGCAGCCCCTGTTTACCATGTAATCAGAACTCATACGGAGAAAGATGTATTCATAAATGTAAATGCTCCAAGGATGATAGGTAAGTAGTTTTTGTGACAAAAGTATGGAGAAACAAACAAAATAACCCATACAATGCGTTGAACTCAAATTCAATTGCTGCAATAGTATATTCTATGTACAGGGCATGGCTTTGTTTTCTTGTTACTGGTCTTGTTCCTTTGTTTCAAAATATCACGCTTTTTAAAAGACTGTTATCAATCGATAGTATATAAATAACGGAAAAATGACAGGTCCGTGGCCGTGTTTTTGAGATATAATCAATTTAAATTTTGCCGGGAAATGATTTTCTCTAGACTTCTAATACTTATAATGCTATATATAATCATAATATTTGAATTGATAATTTTAAAGAGGAGGCATGCTGTCAAAAATAGTATTATACTTAATATTAATAATCTTTATTTTTTTTTCAATTCTACATGTTTGTATTGTTTAATGTCTATCGTTTTGTTATTAATATGCCTGCCTGTCTGTTTGTTTGTTTTGTTTTGGTTTTGTATTGGTTTGTTTATTTAGTAACAATCCTATTGTTTGGATTTTAAACTAATAAAATTCTTCTTATTCTTCTTCATACATTTAACTTTCAAAAACTATTGAAAAATAACAAGGATTTTATAAGATTTTCAAAAATGGCTTTTTAAACTATAATTAATAAAATGAAAAAAAGAAAAGTAGGGGTTAGCGGGTAAAACTTTTATTGGCACACATGGATAAAACTAGTGGATTCCAAATATCTGACAAAAGTAAAAAAAACTAGAGTAGCGAACGTCCATCCTTAGCTGTAATTCAGGTAGGCCGATTTTGAACACGCTATCAGTTTTATAGAAATTATTAAAAACATGTTCAATTAAATGATACATAAGTGTTCAAATCTATAGTTATATATAATGACTAAAACAGAAAATGACAACAGTTATGCTGTGCATTCAATTTCAGGTGCGATAATGTCGTCGGCTGTGTACAGAAGCTCCATAGCACTACTCAAAGTATAGGTGGGTAGTTTTTTGATATAATAAGAAATGTTTGTAGACAAGATTATAATAGTGTATCGATTATTTTTTAATAAAATTAACAAAATAATTATACAATCTATATTCTAAAAATTGATATTTTATTGATGAATCAAACCATTATATATATCTAATAAGGATGATACAATTCAATCTATAAATAGTGGAATTTTAATTGATACAATGATGCATTTCAGTGCAGTTTTATGAATTCGATCTGCCTAGAAACCTAAATGCACATGTCAGGTAAACTGTCGACAACTTATTATATATTATCATGAGAAATATATAAAATCCTTTGCCTCTCTCAGTTTATATAAAGAAATCAAAATTAAAAAGAAACGCGTAGTCATTGTATTTCGATTACCGATCATATACATATAATAGAATCTGAACATACAGGGTTGTTGTCTCTTTGACATATTCCCCATTTCCATTCTCAATTTTATACAAACTGAATAAATGGTGTAGAAACGTTAGCCAATCATAATAAAACATAATTTGGGAAAAGTATGCTAAAAGAACATTAAAAGTGTGCTTTGTTACAACATTCACATTTGGAGTGCAAAAATGGAAGTTTAATGCTTTTCCTTTGCCAAACGAACTACAAATCAGATGTAAGTCCAGGATTTGAGGGAGCGTGATCTTAATAAATGATATTTTCCTACTCACCTGAATCCGCCGCTGTTATAATGCAGATTTATTTTTTAACAATTATTTGAAAAATATATATATTATATCAAGCAAATGAAAAATACTACGTAAAACAATAAATATAATCTATTATAGTATATTGAATCATTTGTACCAATAATTCGTATTTACAACATTTATATTATGTGCATTTAGCTTTAATAATTTGTTTGTAGAGCAATCATCTGTTAATTTACCATCTTCTATCGCACAATCAGTTAGTGGTACGTCAGAAATGCAAAGGTTAGATACCGGTGCTAATGATGGTGAGTTGGAAAAGCATTGCAGTTTAGGCGCCTCCGTCATCAATAAATTATATAAAAATAAGATGATGTGGTAGGATTGCCCCACAAGAGACCAAAATGACATAGATATTAACAGCTATAGGTCACCCACCGTGTGGCCTTCAACAATGAGTAGAACCCATACCACATAGTCAGCTATGAAAGGCCCCGAAATAAAAAATGCAAAACAATTCAAACGAGAAAACTAATATACAGAATTTGGCGGGGTTAAACTAGTTTGAAGGCGCCAACACTCCCCTAACCTGGGACAGTGGTATTACATCACAACATAAGAACAAACTTTAAAAATCAGTTGAAAAGGGCTTACCATACTTTTAAATCATCGTTATTCAACCACCTGTGTGCTTCGTCAAAAGATCAGCTTTTACGCTATAAAAATGACCAAAAATAATAAAATTTCATGTAGATATCATTATCTGCTTATTCTCACACGTTTCTCTTTGTTCGACACAGACCAATTACATTACACCTTTAAGTTAGGACTTTGTTGTTGTGGAAAGTCTTATCGTATATGAAAATAAGGAGATGTGGTATGAGTTTCAATGAGACACCCATCCACCAGAGATCAAAGAACGTGGATATAATAAACTATAAACATGTAGATATATTTTAATAAACGTACTTTCCAAGAATCTGATGTTCAGTAGTTGTCGTTTGTTGATGTGGTTCACAAGTGTTTCTCGTTTCTAGTTTTTTATATAGACTAGACCGTTGGTTTTCCCGTTTGAATGGTTTTACACTAGTAATTTTTGGGGCCCTTTATAGCTTGCTGTTCGGTGTGAGCCAATGCTCCGTGTTGAAGACCGTACTTTGACCTATAATGGTTTACTTTTATAAATTTTGACTTGGATGGAGAGTTGTCTCATTGGCACTCATACCACATCTTCTTATATCTATTTTCACTTGCTTTACAGATCATTTAGGGTTTTTTAGTTTAAATATTGCCATCTACGATAAATCTCAGTAACACATGAGCACTCTCGGCAGATTTTGACGGTTTGATCCATGCTAATACAAAACGCTCTTTAGACGTTGGGCGATTTACAGCCTTGACAGTGTTAAGATCTTGTCAACTATGGAAGACAGTGTGTTGACCTTTGTGATATTCTCATTATTTAGGTTTTTCCTGTCTGTCAATCCAAAGCGTAAAGGTAATTTTTTTCACTGTTGAAGCAATGATTTATGGTTATAAAGTGGCATATTTTGTCTCTATATTTTTCTGTGCATGTTTCATATCATAAATCTATTAAGTCAAACATTATTTTGTGTTACATTTCATATACACATGTACATTGAAATTCATTACAGAGTCCGACTTATCTAAAGAACAAATACATATTGTATATTCTGCGTCAGTTGCGGGGTTTATCATACTGCTTGTAATGTGCTATATAGGCCACAAATGTAGGAAGAAATCTTCAAGGAAAGAAACATTGAAACAAGAAAACATTTCATTAAATAATTTCAGTTCTTCGGTTCATGAATACTTTGAACCTAACGTTAATCATTATGATATTATCAACGACAATGTGATGATTCGGGAAGACCAATCAGCTAATCCCTATTTAGATGTGATTATTAGTTCAAATAGTTCAGAGACTACAAGTAAATCTAATAACTCATCCGATGTAAAGATTGTAGATTCAACTGGTTACTTGAATCCTTACCAAGCACTTACTGACAAAGATAATTCAACAGTACACGTCTACAATTCCAACGTCAGCTATTGCAAGAACATAAACGAGACCTTTAAAAGTTCTGTTAATACGCACTCTTATCAAACTCTCGCTGATGGATTCATAGAAGAAAGGAATATGTATAACACATTAAGCAATGTTCACAAAATGACCCTAAATAGTCGACTTCACAAAAGTGAGGTATCCGTGTTCAGTCAACCTAAAGACCTGCTCGCAAGTACTGATATTGATAACATACGTCGCTTTTCTTTGTAATTAGGTATTAAAGAATGTGTATACTCTCTACAATATACTCTGTTTTTTCGTTTATAAAATTGCCAAGCAATCAAAAGTATACTTAAGGTGTGAAGTGACGATAATGTATCAATATTTCGAAAGTTTTGCTGTATTATAGGCCAATTTTCTGTCATTCCAACTTGATCAATTATACTCTAAGTCGATCGTGGACTTTTATTTAAAGACCTCAATGACAAAGTTGGGATGGAAAATGTCTATAATACTCCAACTAAAATTAATCAATTTATAAAATTTAATGTTCATCGGAGACAGTGTTCAACTGCTCTTGTCCTTTCGGTCATAATGTTTCAATACGTTTAAGCAAGACAGTTAGTACTTTAGTGTCATTTTGTCTTCAGCTCAGTTAATAAGCTCAAGAGTGTTTAATATAATACGTTTTCTATTTCACTTCTTAAGAAAACATCGCACAGCTTTATTGCATGATTGCCATTTTTAGAGAGAGTATGATTTGTACCGTTTACAAGAGAGGCGAAATATACCAAAGAGATAATCATACTCATAAGTCGAAAACGAACTGACAATCCAAAAACAAAAGACAACCAAAAGACAGACAACAGGAAACAAAACACAGCATAAAGACTGAGCAACACGAACCCCACCAACCAAACCAGGGATGATCTCAGGTGCTCCGTAATATGAAGCAGATCCTGCTCCACATTTGACACCCGTCGATAAAGAGACTTAAATGACCACCTAACTTAAAATCAAATGTTCAACCGGCGTTAGTGTTTTTTTTTTTTACTAAAACATATTTGTCTAACAAATAATCAATTTTAACCTTAAAAAATCACGTACACATAAATGAATGGTATTTGTTGTTATCACTGACATACATTTGAAATTCGATGAAAATATGGATAAGAACATACTGAAAACCCCGTATAGTTTTGATAAAGTTAAAATTAAAGCATATGATTTACATAATCGATAGATATCGGTATGGAAAAAAGTAACCCCCTCGGTCCTCCCTTAACCAAAGCAAGCAAAGAAGAACAAAACAAAACAACACAAACATTTACCACCCCCCCCCCCCCCAAAAAAAAAACAAAACAAAACAAAACAACTGCCACACCCCTCGAGTCGGAACTCTCCTAGATTTAGTTTTCCTGAGGGATTATGTAAACAATGACAGTGACTGATAAATGGATCAGAAGTGGTATCAACCTGTGACTGAAATAAAGTAGGAAGGTAAATCAGGTTTCAAGGCTTCAAACCGTCGCCTATTAAACTGCTGTAACAGAAGAAAACTGTACAATTAAAATGCGGCATCTATAATCAAGTCATTGATTATTCCCCAATATCAACTTAATACTGACAATTGTCCCTTAATGCTTAAAATCTGTATAGCACAAAACAATAAAAACATGTGTGTGAAAAATGCTTAACTTAATATCCTACATGTCATTTTTGGAATTGACTTAATGTTTTATAAAAGTAAACAACGCATTATTCCTTAAATTGAAGATAAGTATGATAAATATTCTTAAAATATACTACGACATTGTTTTTTTTAAACTGAGTGTATTATGAATAAAAGAATATGTGGGGTATATGTCAATGAGACAGCAACCCGAAAACACTGAGCCAAAAACCATATAATCATTTGGTGCTTGCTAAACGTCCAGTTGCAAATTTTTCATGCATCTCAGAACGAAAACATGTACATATAAGCAATACATTGCAACAGGTACCTACGGACCCCTCAGAGTTGTTTCAAGGATTTTACAACTGGACGGAAGAAACCAAAGGATGATCATTTTTCTATACCCCAGACAACACAGAAAAAACGAAAATTTCTAGAGATCAACATACGATCTACAGCAAAAGATCAACAATTCAGTGGGAATTATTTTGTCTTTAAGATTCTATATATCCAATCAAAAGAGGAAATATTCAGTAGCAAAACAAAAAGGTGTATTGAAGGTAGAAATATAATTTCTATACTTGATTTTTCAAAGAAATATAGGTAAACAAGTTCGAAATATGAAACAAAATTGTCAAACTGTGGCAGTAAAACTACACACCTGGATGACAACCTGTTTAATAGCCCAGCAGGTTGACAAATTGTATTTTATATTTCAATATTCAACTTCCCTAGCAGTCCATGATTTATGACCCCCAATAAATTCCTGACATCTAATGTCAGACATAGAGGATGCTGATGATTTATCAGACTATGTCCTACAGTAAAGTAACCAAATGAACAAATAAAAACGTATCGATATGACACGGAACAAGTAAGTCTATAATAATTAAAAGAAATGGTAGCGTTTGGTTATTTGTAGAACTTGGTTTTAATTGGCAGACCTATGATTGTTATGTCTCCCTTTCGAAAGAAGGACTTTATGATTCTATATTAGTAGTAATTATTCTTCGTCTTATGGTTCACATACAACTTTGTCCGGGCCAAAACTCGATCATCTTTGTTTATCGATTTATTATATTTGGTGAAGTATACACAGACTTAAAACACCCTGACAAGTTATTTTGCTAGATTCTGCAAAATAACAGAACCATGGTCATTTTCTTTACCTTAGACTTTATTAAAAATTTTCATTGTTTTCAATTTTTCAAATGTATGTTCATTTATCATAGTTATCTTTGAAACTTGTCATATTTTTTCTTTGTTTTTTGGGGGGTTTTGTTGGACAAAACAACTAAAAAAAAATTATTTCAATGTCAACCATTCGGTTGCCATAGCAACAATGTACCGGAATCTGCAATCTAAATAATAATGACTTAATAATGATGACTTAGTCATTTTTCTTTTCCTTTAGGAAAAATACATTAAAGGGGTACTAGCTGTCAAATTCATGTTCATCGATTCGACTCAAATTCTCATATTTAATTTATAACAATGTAAAACATTTATCCAAACTATTAAAAGTCTGAAATAAACAGTTAACAGGACATGGGTATGATAACACGTAGCTTCGTTTCGTGTATATTTTAGTCTAGACGCCATCTAATTAACTATCGAGTTGACCTCCAAAGTCATTCGATGACCATATAAGCGTTAGCGATGTAAACATAAATAAAAATATAAATAGATTAAGCGAACTCGTGCTATTGGATTTTTCTAGGTCTGTTTAATTTCATATTATAAATTAAAAATATATGTTTATCATCGTTTTTACCTGTATAAGAAAGTTTTTTTGTGGATCGGATCAGTCAATCAAATGATTTACCTTTGTTTCACTTTCAATGTTGACATTCTTTTTCTTTAAATAACTTTACACATACAATTCACGTGTTATCCATCTCTAGCAAAGGGGTTAAATTGAAGTTCACATGAATACGGATTCAATGAGGTCGAATTATTCACTTGCAAGTGAATAATTCATCATCAATGTTTCTTAGCTTATTTTGACAAAATTGAACCTTACTGGCGGCTAAAAGCGAATAATTATTTCTCTATTTCACTTTCATTAATGATTGAATAAAAAAATCATATATTAGATTTCGTAGCTAGTGCCCCTTTAATGCTAAGAACGTGAATACCAAGATATTTTCCCTTACAATGTGAACAATGAGATTTACTCCAAAAACTTGATGCTCATGCTGCAAAGTGTATTGGTAACAAATTAGATAAAAATATAAACACTGCACTTTGCAATGCCTATAATGATCTAAAGTTTATTTTCAGCCCCTTTGATACATGTAATTAATTTAATGTAATGAAATCAAAAAGATAATTTGTGTAAATTTAGAACGCGATTCTAAACGGGATTTTTACCTAAACTATTTATTTCAGGTAAAGAAATCTACTTGTCTTGTATATCTTAAAATAAGATTCAAATTTCCTCAAGTCAAGAAATGACATACCGCATGATATAATTGGACATTCAATAACAGTTACTCCGATTACGTTACGTGACTTTTACCGCCTTAAACCTGGAAATGTCATGGCGGGTCATAATAAGGTAAAATAATTGATTTGCCCGGAACATAACTTTTTCATCCTTGGCATGGCATATTGATGTTTGGCACATATATGCATCATTTCAAGACGATGTATCGGGTAGGGGTCGCCCCGCTATTCCGACACCCCATTGGTCCGACACCCCATTCTACCGACACCCCATTGATACGACACACCATTTGTCCGACACCCCAATAGTCCGACACCCCAATAATCCGACACAACGTGAATTGAAAATCTACTTCATACTAAGAAATGGAAAGGACAACCGGCTTCCAAACTGGTACATGTATATAAGAAATACAATTCCATCTGGATAAAGATGATTAATAACTGGTGCATACGTGGCCTTTTTATTTAAAACAAGTTAATATAAAGTTATATACAAACTATGTACAGGAGATGAAGCTATCTAAATGAGAGTGGAGAGAACAGCATATGTAAGCTGCACTCTGAAAGAGTCGACTGTCTGTGAATTAACAACTGTAGTTGGTAGGAGATTCCATTGCGTTATTGTGTATGGAGAAAATGAAAATCTGTACGAGTGTTTGGATGTATAGATGTGTCTGAAGGTGTGTGAACGATGTTTTCTGATTCTTGAGTCTGATGGAATGAGAATTGTGCTAGATGGTATCACAACAAGATAATGTGTGATCTTGTACATCATAACCAGGTCAGGCGTGCACGTAATCTGCGCTGTGTTAATTGTTGCCAGTTGAGTGTATTGAGCATGCTTGATACACTGCTTGTGTTATGATACCTGTTGCAGGCATACCGAGCAGCTCTCCTTTGGACCATCTCTATCTTCGAGATAGATTCTGAAGTGTGGGGGTCCCAAACCGAGCAAGAGTACTCGAGTTTGGGACGGACAAGTGCTTGGTATGCCTGGCTCTTAATGTTTTGATTTGATGTTTTCATGTTTCGTCTTAGAAAGCCAAGTGTTTTATTGGCGTTCGAAATATTTTCATCTATAAAAAGTAAAATCACAAAAATACTGAACTCCGAGGAAAATCCAAAAAGGAAAGTCCCCAATCAAATGGCAAAATCAAAAAAACAAACACATCAAACGAA